AAATTAAAATAAAATATCAATACAATTTAAAACATGATTTTCTTCAAATAATAATTATAACAAAATATCATAATTAATAATATTATACAAAATAATTTTCATAAATGATTATTATTAAAACCTTTAAAAAATTCAATCAAACCCATTCAATTAATCAAAATAATTATAAGGAAATAATCTTCATAAATACAAAAATAAATAATAATTATTCGTAGTATTAGTAGAAAAATTCGGGGTGTTACAGTTCCAATGATTGAGATGTTGCTGAAGATTCTCCATTTTACTATGCCAGTCAGATTGCTCCATCCAGCTATTCCTGATTACATTTGAAATGTCCGGGTGGGTGAGACAAGCCATTTCAAATCTAAAAGGATGACGTTGTTGATTGGAGTTGAACCTGCCACTAAATCTAATCATAACATGATTATGATCCAATTTTAACGGGTGTAAATGAATCACATCAGTGTGGCAGAAGTCCATCTACCAATCAAGGTTATCTAACACACGGTCTAGATGCTCAAAAAGGTTGTCTCTTTTCCAAGTGAATGGAGAACCTTAATATCCCATGTCAATGAGATTGCAATCTCGCACCATCTCACGAAAGGAATGGTCACCTTGATAATAAGCTCTTCGCGCACCTCCTTGTCTTTCACCATCTTGTAGGACAACTTGAAATCTCCTAATAAGCACCATGCACCATTAATCTCCGTTGCAAGTCTTCGAATATCTCTCTAAAGCTCCACCCGAAACTGGGAGTGGAGGTTGCCATAGATGAAATTCATGAACCATGATCTTGATGCATGAGTGACTTTCGTATGGATATGGTTCGAGTGGTTCACGACATCAATCTTCCACTTGGTTGAATCCCAAAACATCCAAATACCACCTGCAAAACCTTGCGCATCCACTTGAAAGGAACTATCAAGTCTAATTCGGTTAATAACTTTCTGTGCAGCAGGACCACTAATGTGGGTCTCCAACAAGCATAGTACACCTACACGATGTTCTCTAATGGAATTATTAATGATAACTTGGTTAAAGATTGGGGTTAGAAACCCTAGAACCATTATGGCTATCCAATATAGCCTGCTTTCCATCTGGATAACTTGAAATCTTCTTCCCCTCCTCTTCGAAGTGACAACGTAGAAGACTAGCCAAGGCCACAATCTGTTTGCCAGGCTATATTATAGATGATAAAGCATCCAAAACCCTAGTGAAGGGCTTATTTTCACACGTAGCAAAATTCTTAAGACTCGTGAGAACCGTCTTCGAGTTTTTCGCTTCATGTTTTGCATGAATTGTATGCGCCTCAGTTGACGTGGAATCTTCAAATTTTCCTTTTATTTGGGACACACCTGCTTGGCATGATCCATTTAAAAATTGATTATTGTTTTCACATTGGGTCCCATGTCTCTAGTGTTGATCAGAAACATTAATTACAATATTCCCACTAGTGGAAAATGAGTCTTTTACGTCACCTCTTTCTCATTGGACATAACAAAAACTGACGTAAAACAGATGCGGTGGCATTTTTGCAATTTTTGTGAACTTTTTTACGTCGGACCTGTTGGGTCCGACGTAAATGTAAAATCTACGTCGGACACGACATACAACCGACGTAGATTTTACATTTTACGTTAGACCCTACCAAGTCCGACGTAAAAAAAAGTAGCGAAAGTGAATAAGAAGAGTGCATGGGAGGCACACGCACGCACGCATTCACTCGAATCTCATCACTTTTCTAGATTCTTCTCTGTATAAACCCTTTCCCTCCCCTTTGTTGCTTAATCGTTTTTTCTGTCTTTTGTAGAGTGGGGTGAACTCTTCATTACTCGTTCGCACACTGTTGCAGATCAGGTATGAATCAGGGTTTTCTAACACCTTTTGCTTCGCATTGCTAGTATGGCTATTTGTTCTATTCGATCTTTAGGTTGTTCATTTGTTTGGGTTGTTGGCCTTTTCTTCTGGATTGTTCTATCAAGCAGAACGACCTGTTCTCCAAGTAGAATGACCCGTTCTACTTGCACTCGTTATGGTTTTTTTTGTTTACATCTTTTTTTTACGTTGGATATTGGCAATGTCCGACGTAAATTTATGTCGATTTTCACAACTGATGTAAATTTACGTCAATTTTCACAATCGACGTAAATTTACGTCTCCTGCATTGACGTCAGACTTTTTTTTGACGTAAAAAGCTTAAAATAACATACGTAAATTACCTCTTTTGTACTAGTGTCCTTTTGCTAATAATTAAATGACTATTATTATCTTCTTTTTTTGCAGTTACCTTGTGGATTCTTTCCACCAAAAGTGTTACAAATCATAGTTTGAGAATTAGTAGGATTTGTTTGTGACGTCCCAAAATTGATAGGATTAGATAAACTGTTCACACCAGATATATTATCTTTATGCATATCATAGATCTTATCTGCTAGAATCTTGGGTTTATTGATATCATTTTTAAAATTCTTATACCGAGAATTAAGGGATTTTCTGTTTTGCTTGACTAGCATCCACGACCCATACTGTTCATCCTCGATAGTTTGGTCAGCCACTTCCTTCGGTGAGATCTTCGATAGTTGATTACGATTCTCCACCTTGTTGTTTGGCTTTGTCACTTGGTCATCAACCACCATCTTTGCTTCAACTGCTTTTTTTCTATATCGTGATCATTATTGATCAAATTATGAGGGCAAAAATCTTGTTTATGGCCATACGTTCCACAATTGAAACATATAGAGTGGAGACCTTCATATTCAAGTTCTAGAATATGTCCTAACACAATAATTTGTGCCACGAAATTTTTTTGTAAATCAATTTCCACACATATCCTAGCAAAACGACCCCTGGATTGAATCCAAGTGAGTTTGTCGATTTTTAGCATAGTACCTAATTTGCTTCCAACTTTCCAAAGGAAACGATCAATGAACAGCTTAAAAGGTAATCCTGGAATACGAATCCAGGCAGCAATTTTATGAGTTTGCTTAGCAGTGACTGTAAAAAACGGTCTCCATCTTTGCACTACGATGTAATGATCTGCATTGAGCTATGGACCCTCAAAAAGAGCATGCTTGTAATCGTCCTCAGACCCAAATTGCACTAGATAAAAATCTTAGGATAAGTCCACTAATCTAGTTGTGCCGTTCTTTCCCCATTCTCGTTGGATTTTGTTATCTAGCATTCTGAAAGCCACCCGTTTCCCCAGAACATTGATGACCAAGCTCTATGTTATGTGATGTGAATCTTAGGGCAGGGATCAAGCTCTATGTTATCTCCCTCAGATGCATCTTGATCTTTATAGAACTCGTCCTCTGGACATTCCATCTCTTTGATTGATTAAGCTTCTAAAATCCGAAAAAACTTTTCCCCTATTAGATGACACGAGACTGTCCATATAAGATTTGGATGGACTTTTGTTTTCCGCAGCATCATCTCCAAAAAACTTCCATACAAGCATCTTCCGCACTAGGTGTATCATTACTTGAAGCCTTCATTTTAACCTTTTTTCATACTCTTGTGTAGAGGATCATCCTCAATAGCGTTCTTAGAAACAAAAATCCTAGCAAAGCTCTCCATTTGAGGAAAAGTTTCGTTAATAATAGTTACTTTACCTTTTATTTCTTATAATTTAAAATAATTTTTTTAGTTTTTATACTTACCTTTTTCAATTATTTTTAATCTCTATAGTTTGAGATATATATTTAAGTTTATATACTTGTAATTTTGTAATACTTTTAGTTTCTATTATTTATTTTTTTTAACATTTTTTTTGTGTGTGTTAACGTGATATAGTATGTAAAAATTAAAAAGACATAAATTTCTAATAAATCTAATTTAATTAGAATAACTCCAATTAAATAAATTTGATATCAAACATATAAAATTAAATTAATTTAATTAATACTTTTATCATAAAAAAGAGACGTTAAAAAAATGAATGATAATAACTAAAAAAATTAAAGTTTTTTTTTAAAAAAATTTATTTTAAATTATAAATATTAAAAAAAATAAAAATTAAGTTATAAACTAAAATATTTATTTTAAATTATAAAGACAAAAAAATAAATAATTCAAACAATAAAAATTAAAAAAAATCTAATCTTTTTATAATGACGGATGACCGATGGAAATAAATTCTATATTTTAACATAAAAAAACACGAATTTTCTTTTTAAATATAGTCTTTTTCAGAGCACAACTTTCCCTTTTTTATTAGGAATATTTTAAAAATTAAAACTCTACCCATTTTGAAAATTTTTAAAAAATATTACCCCTTTATTTATGTAAAAAAGCCAATCCGTCCCCTATTTAAAAATTGCTCCGGGTACGTTCTGGTTCGGGCGGGGCAAAAAAGGAATAAAAATTGATCATTCCTTACCCATCAAAACAAACACTCATTTTCCTCACTTCACTAGAGAAATCCCGCCACCGTGTATCCCTGATTCCGCTTCCATGTCCCTGCTTCCCAAAACAGAGAAAAACAACGTCCCCGTCGTCGACATTGACAGCGACGACGGCGACGACGCCGTCGTTGCGGCGGTTCCCGCTAAAAATGACGCGTCGTCGCAGAGAACTCCATCTCCGCAAGTTGAGCTTGCGCAACAAGAAACTCCTGCGTCAAGTTCCGCTTTGTCGGTCTCTGACCGTCAGTCTCGAAGTTTCTGGAAAGCTGGGGATTATGTTGTTGGTCCCTCTTCGAAGCCCCCTCCCTTTCAAGGTTTTGTTTCTATTGCTTTAAAATTTAATTTAATATTCGCATCATTCTCTTAGGTTATGTTCTGATGAAGGAGTTTAGAAGGGAATGGTTGATATAGTTATGAAATTTTTCAAACAATGAATGATTGATGGTAGGACTAGGAAGTAAGGTTTTAAATTGAGGTTGCAATTGGTGTGTTTAGTTGCGTTTTGATGTTGTGGGAAATTGCAGACAAATACGACACAATTGCGGTCATGTTGCAATTGCACATACTCTGAAAACCTTGATGTTGCGTCAAAACCATGCGCAGCTGTTTTTAAAACCTTGGAAGGTTACATGCTGATGTTTCATTTTATTTCTTTTATTTTGAAAAATGTTTTACATGTTAAAATTGTGAAGACTAGAATCGAGGGAGAAGGTGAACAGAAAAATTTCTGAACTCTGTTGAGTGTCAAAATCTGAATTACAACAATACTGGATCAGTGGATATATATGTGTGCATAGTTGTGGGTGTGATCCACTCTTGAAGATATAACTTTTGTACAACGACCATAACTATAAAATACAACTCAATAATTGAAAAGGGGCTACAGATTAACGGCCGTCCGGTTCCTTCATATCTGATGAGTTATGACAGTTGACACTACTAATAAAATATGAAAAATATTGATTTTGGTCGAGAAATTAACCTGTATTCCTCTTTCTCTTCCAAACCCTGCCATTCAAACATTTTACTGTTTCCGCTCCAATTGCAGGTCACTTGGAACATGCTCGGGTGCATCCCAAGTTTCTGCATTCTAATGCAACATCCCATAAATGGGCTTTTGGAGGTTGGTTTCTCTGGCTCTCTTGTATTTGCTTTTGAAATCCTTTTGAATCAGATTGTGTGCATAGATTTGTTTTTTTTAGTTAGTTATTTGAATGGTTATTTTTTCTCTTATTAGTTTTATTTGTCGCACAGATTCTCAGTAAATGTAATAAAACAAATTACTTCATTAAAAGTTGTTCCAAACGTGAAATTTGATTGGTAAAATCTGTTTAACTTGTATAAGTACACTCCAAATACAATGTTACTTTATTTTTGGCCTGGTTTAGTGTGTAATCTACTTCTAGTGAGTGACTGGAGAATTTTCTCCCTGACATGCTTTTTTTCCTGATTTGGAAATTGGAATGTAGTTGTCTGTTTGCCAGGATGCATATGGTTGCCAACTAGTCCAAGTTGGTTGCTTGCCAAAATTAGAGTTCTACACAACTTATGCGCTCAGGCTTTATGAAGTGTTAACTGGGGAAATAGCAAACATTTGAGGACTCTCTTTGTGTGCATTCAAGATGTTGACTGACTTGTATTCTTATTAAATTGAAGTTTCAAATTGCTGTCTGAGTTTGTTTCTACCACTTAGGAGGTTTTTATATAGTATTTAAAAATGAATCAAATGATGGGTTTCTAAGACAATTTTGGATAGCAAGAAGAAGGGTGTTTGGGATATCATAATGTCTCTTTTAAATGTTCAATGAAGACTTCTTGTATTAAATATTTCATGTATATGATGCATTACTTGGTTATTCATATGTGCCTTTCATTATTGGCAGCCATTGCTGAGCTTTTGGATAATGCTGTTGACGAGGTATGATTAATGTAAATTTATTTACACTTTTCTAGGCAGTGAGATAATCCTAGTTAGTGTGTGTGAAAAAATATCATTTAGTACTCGAGCTTTGTTGTCTGCTTTAAGTGCTCTCTTGGTTGGCTCTATAATATGACATTTCAATGTTGGTGTATCAACAAGGGTTGTCTCACTTGTTTGATAGGGATAAAAATTTGTATTCTTCATTGTTACGAAAGAATTGTTTCTCATAGGAAAACTGATTTTATTGATCTAAGTGAAAAGTGAATTAGAAGCTATAGTGCTCAGACCTTTTACATATTATATATAATATATAATGTAGATGTTGAGGTCTACAAGAGTATATTACTCCTGTTGTATCTCAGTCGTCTACAAGACTACTGACTTTCATTTTGTAATAGCTTCTTGTATAGGACTGATCTAGCTTGCTGTACAAGCTATTCAGTTGAGTTAGTTTTCCTCTTGTATATATACCAACTTGTAAATTGATCCAATCATCTAGCTCATTTCAATAAAATCAGAGATATTATTTTTCCTTTTCTCTCTCACTCAATACGATATCAAGAGCATTTGATCCATGATGGATCCTTCTAGTTCTCTTCTGCCACCACCACCACCACCACTTAGGATGACTATGAATTCTCCAGTAGCATTCTTGCATTCTATTTTTGGGAAGCTTGATGATATAAACTTCCTTTTTATGGTGGCAACAAGTACAACGTGATTAAAACACATCATCTTCACCATTTTGTTGTTGCTCCAAATATTTTGCTTCAATATTGTTCTTCTTTAGATCGCGATAACGCGATTCTTAATCCTAAGTATGAAGCTTGGAAACAACAGGATCAAATGTTTCTTTCATTGACTAAAATCATCACTTTCATTTATATTTCTCTCTAGTTCTTGGCTTTACTCATTCATTTGAGCTTTGGGAGAAGCTTCATGACTATTTTCAGAAATAGACTGGTGCTTAAGCACGACAATTACGCACAAAGCTTTGTGCTACTACTCTCAATGACCAGTCTATGATGGATTTTCTTCTTTGCATCTAGTCACTGGTTGACTCTCTCTCGCATCTATTGGAGATACTGTATCACTTGAAAAGCATGTTGATGTTATCCTCTAAGGTCTTCCTCAAGAATACAGTTTGGTAATCTCTATAATAGATTGCAAGTTTGAAACCTACCTATTGATAGAGTTGAAGTGCTACTTCTTGCGCATGAGATGTGATTACAAAAGCTTTGCATCAAATTCGCTCAATCTTGTTCATGTTTTTGAACCTCCTACTTACGTACCATTAGAAAAATTTAGTCTTTGTGCAAGCACACATTCATTTTACTCAAGAACAATCTTCTGAAGAATTTTAGAATTTTCATGGTGCTCTTAATCGTGGTGGCTAGAGTGGCTGTGGTAGCTATTCCAATGTTCAGTGCAAAGTATGTTTTAAGTTCGGACACACAACCTTTGTTTGCTGTCATCGATTCAATCAACACTATCAACCTCAGTTCTAACCAAATTTTGCTAATTCATATTATAGTTTTAGCAGTTTTTGAAATGTCGGACCTCCTTAATGAAATTATGCTAAGTTCTACACTGAACCTAATGTTTCATCTGCTCCACCTTGGGGTCAAGCTCTTCCTTCATCAAATTTTTGGGTTTGACCGCTTGCATTGTCAACCAATACACCAAGTGCTATGGTCACTAATGTTGGGCCAACCTTGCTAGGGTCATGATGTCCAGATTTAGGCACTTCTTTTCATGTAACCCCTAATGGACAAAATATTGAGAAACTTCTTTTCTTGAGGTCTAATACCTCCCTCCTTTGAAACAACCTTGTTCTCAAGGTTGAAGTCTGGAAATTTGAGTTCATCCAATAGTTCCTCTATCATCAAGATGGGAAATTTGTCTGGAATTGTGGCTTTGTTCAGGGCGCGGTAGTCTACCCTTTTTATTCTTATTTATTTATTTACAAGGAAGGAATAATGCTCTAGATGAATTCCATGCAGAGAGAGTTAAGAATTGATAAATTTCAGTCTCATTGATTTGTTTATCGGTGAATGCTTAAATAGATTTTGACAATATCGAGCGAGAGTCGAAAGAAATTTTAAGGTGGTTGATGTTTGTGTGAAACACGCCTTATTAATGCCTAACTCTGCACTATTTGTTTTTTTGTTCAAGACTTTTGTCTTAGTGGACTCGTAATTTGACCCAGAAAATTTTAATAAAAAACATTTTTTTGTCATAGTGGATTTTTTTGCAAACATTGTACATTAGATTCTAAGAAGGTTCGTTTCAACAGACATATCATAGTAAAGGCTCAACTATAGCATTTTCAAAATCGATTTGGGCTTTTCTTTAGAGCGTAGATATTGTTGTATATTAGAGCATTCACTTTTCTTAACTTTCTATACATGTTGCTACCTAATCCTTTCATAACCTATGAAAAATAAATGCATGATGGAGTAATGAGTTAGCCTAAGAATGCATGACATTTTATTTTGCCTATGTTTTACCATGTTTTTTATGTTATCTAAGGAGAGATGATACATGATAAAAATAGGACTTTTTTTTATTCATCATTTTTTACTAAAAAAAACTACATATATGATGTTAATGGAATGATGGCCTAAGAATGTACAAAGGGGTATGTTCCGGTATGCCTAAAAGTCCCACATCGCTTAGGAGTCGAGGCTAAGGGTAGTTTATAAACACTCTTCCTCCTTAACCCACGAGGCGCCTTTTCAAGGACAAAACCGTGACAGCCCAACGAGCGCCAAAGAGGACAATACCTCGGATGCGGTGACCCTAACGATGACAGCAGACTTAGGGTAGGAACATTGGCGCTAGAAGGAGGGCCCAGGCCACTCTCGCCCCTTAGCATCGACTGGGGGGCTTGTTCCGGTATGCCTAAAAGTCCCACATCGCTTAGGAGTCGAGGCTAAGGGTAGTTTATAAACACTCTTCCTCCTTAACCCACCGAGGCGCCTTTTCAAGGACAAAACCGTGAC